AGGTGTGACTCTCCCTCTGCTCCACAGTCAGCGTGAAGCGGCGGTCCTGGTCCTGGCAGCAGTACCTGAACGAGCAGAAGGCCGAGGCAGCTCCGCCCTCTCTCTCACCCAGGTGAGCCCAGCTCCCCCCTGAGCCAGGTGAGCCTCACCTGTCCTGATGGACGCATGTCTGTCCCTCAGGACCAGTCCTGTCCCAGCAGGAGGACGGCCTTCAAGGTGGGCATGAACTGGAGGGCATCGACCCGTTGCATCCCTCCATGTTCTGTGTGCTGACCGTCGCCGAGGTAACCGCTCAGCCCCGCCCTCACCGCACCTAAGTGGGAGTGGCCACCTGAGCCTTGTGTCTCTCAGGTGATTGGCTGCCGGCTGCGTCTCCACATACGGATACTCCGAGTGCTATGACTTCTGGGTAAACGCCGACTCACCTGACATTAGACCTGCTGGATGGTGCAGAGAGCACCGCCACAAGCTCCACCCACCCAAAGGTGAGAAGAAGTCCACCCCCACCATGCAGCCAGACAGCTGAGGCCTCCTCCACCCGTCCACCTGTCCACCTGTCCCTCTGTCTGCAGGTCACAGTGAGACGGAGTTTCGATTGGCAGGACTACCTGCAGTCCTCAGGGTCCCTCGCAGCTCCGCCCACCCTGTTCACCTGTCGCTCCACCGTGAGTCCACACCTGTCTCTCTGTCTTCCTGTCTCTGCCATTCCCTAACCGTCTGTCCATCTGTCTGTCCCTCAGGTGTGTGAGTTCCAGGTGGGGATGAAGCTGGAGGCGGTGGACAAGAAGAACCCAGGACTGGTGTGCGTGGCGTCTGTTGCTGATGTCATCAACGACCGCTTCCTCGTTCACTTCGACAACTGGGACGACACCTACGACTACTGGTGAGACCGGGGACAGCATGGGGGGAGGGTGGGGGGAGGTGTCTCCTCAGGTGTCCAGGCTGTGGTAGTTCCAGTGCTGGCAGCAGGCGGCGCTGCTCACCTGTCCTCTGTGTCCTCCAGGTGACAGCAGCAGTCCCTACATCCATCCGGTGGGCTGGTGTGAGGTGCAGGGCCGACCGCTGACCGCGCCCCAGGGTATGTCCCAGAACCAGAACCAGAACCTGGATCTGGACCTGAACCAGCTACATGTAGAGAACAGCTTCCAGTGCTTCTGTGTGCTGGTTGTACTGGTAACTGTGGTGTTCTCCAGGTCATCCCAACCCAGAGGGCTTTGTGTGGGACGACTACCTGCAGGAAACTGGTTCCACTGCTGCTCCCAGTTCAGCGTTCACACTGGTGAGAGGGGGCGGGGCCAGGCAGACCAGAGACCAATCAGAGAGCGCTATATGCTCACTATGTGCTTTTGTCCAATCAGAGAGCTCCGCACGGTTTCCAGGTGAACCATAGGTTGGAGGCGGTGGACAGGAGGAACCCCATGCTGATCCGCGTCGCCACGGTGACGGACACCGAGGAATACCGGGTGAAGGTACGGCGCACTTCCTGTCACCTCTGTGACGTCATCAGAGGGGGACGATGACAGACGGCGTGTCCCCGTAGGTCCACTACGACGGCTGGTCCACCCAGCTGGACGTCTGGATGGACAGCGACCACACAGACCTCCACCCGGTGGGGTGGAGCCAGCGCACCGGGCACCCACTGGAGCCCCCCCCAGGTCAGGGGGCGACGGGACAGAGACAGGTGGGACAGGGACGACTGTAGCTATTGGGTCCTGAAACCTGTATGTCTCCTGTTGGACAGGGTCGTCCCCCCTGCCCTCTCCGTCTCAGGGAGTGTGTCCCACTGCTGGCTGCAGAGGCGTTGGACACATTAAAGGAGCCAAATATACGGGACACCACAGGTATCTGTCCCTGCACCTGTCCCTCCACCTGTCCACAGTGTCTCAGGGTGTCTCCATCTGTCCGTCCCCAGTGCCTTCGGCTGTCCGTACTCAGAAATCAACATGAAGAAGGAGGTGGTGCTGCCTGACCGGCTGAGCGGGGAGAGGTCCGTCACCTTGGTGCCTGTGTCCCTGTCTCACCTTCACAGGTAGTGTGGAGTGCAGGCTCTTATTCTGAAAGGACAACAGGATGATTCTTTGTGCTGACAGCAGGTGGAGCTCAGAAGTAGTTTGTTCTCATTGTCCACTTCCTGTCTGTCCTCCTGTCTGTCCAGCAGAGGCGTCCAGATGAAGCAGGAGTCCACTGATGTCCCTCTGCTGCCTCTGGGGAAGAGGAAAAGATTACCTGACAGGTGAGAGCAGCTGCTCTCTGATTGGCTCCAATCACAGTCTTCTGTCCAATCACAAGCAGAGAATTTAAGAACAAAAGTCAGGAAGTGGAGAGTGAAGCGATTGGTCTCTGAGGATCGTCTGGATGCTGCAGAACCTCAGTAGAACCCCAACAGAACCTCAGTAGAACCCCAACAGAACCTCAGTAGAAACCTCAGTAGAAACCCAACAGAACCTCAGTAGAAACCCAACAGAACCTCAGTAGAACCTCAGTAGAAACAAACAGAACCTCAGTAGAAACCCAACAGAACCTCAGTAGAAACCCAACAGAACCTCTGTATGAGCTCATTCCAGATCACCTTTTTGGTTCCCAGCAGCCATTTTTAATAAAACCACAGAAGAAGAATGTTTGATTTCACTGATGTCCTCTCTGGCTCCGCCCACAGACTGACCCAACCAACCAAATGCCTGCGTGTGAAACAGGAAGAGGAGGAGCTTCCCTCCGAACCATCAGTCCAGGTAAGGTTCCTCTGATTCCGGTTCTGCGTGGGTTCAGAACCGGGCCTGTGGTGTCATCCAGGCCCAGCAGGGGGAGCCGATCGCTCCGGAGAAAGAGTCTGTTTCCATGGAGACCAGGGTGTGATGTCAGAGCTTCCTCTCTGTTGTCATGGAGACAGTAAGATGGTTGGAAGAGAACTGTGCTGCGTTGTCAGGGAAACAGGTGGTTTCCATGGTTACAGCAGTGTTTGTACTGCTGAGTCCAATGAGACCCGGTTCTGGTTCTGACCCAGTTCTGGTCCTGACCCGGTTCTGGTCCTGACCCGGTTCTGGTTCTGACCCGGTTCTGGTCCTGACCCGGTTCTGGTTCTGACCCGGTTCTGGTTCTGACCCAGTTCTGGTCCTGACCCAGTTCTGGCGGTTCTGGTTCTTTCCCGTCAGAGTCCAGTCTGCAGGCCGTCCTCCATCAGTCCGTCTTCCTGTCGGCCATGTCGGCCCAACCGGGTCGCGACCTCTCTCTCTGCTGGGAGCAGCACAGGAAGCTGTTGCCGGGCGTGGCCCGTCTCCACGCCGACGCTGTCCGCCGCTGGACCGTGCAGCAGGTGAGCGCCGCCTCCCGGTCTCCATGGCGACCTGGCGACCCGCTGACCCGCGTTGTCTCTCAGGTGTCGGACTTCGTGGAATCTCTTCCTGGATGTGAGGATCAGGCCAGCAGTTCAGGGACGAGGTGAGACGGCCAATCGCAGGCCTCGGCTTTCATGACATCACAGATTAGGATGTCCCCTCATCAAGCACAGGGCCACCATGGAGAGGAAACCTCCATCAGAACCACTCTGCTGCCCCCTGCTGGACCCGATCAGGACATCAAAGTGTTACACAGAATCAAAACGTTGATTTATGTTCTGATTGGTTCTGATTGGTTCCTGTTTGTTTGTAGCAAATAGATGGGCGGGCCTTCCTCCTGCTCACCCAACGGGACATCGTCAGGATCATGTCCATCAAGCTCGGCCCCGCCCTCAAGATCTACAACTCCATCCTGATGTTCAAACACGCCGAGGACAAGAGCCAATCACAGGCCGAGGACAAGAGCCAATCACAGGCCGAGGACAAGAGCCAATCACAGGCCGAGGACAAGAGCAAATCACAGGCCGAGGACAAGAGCCAATCACAGGCCGAGGACAAGAGCCAATCACAGGCCGAGGACAAGAGCCAATCACAGGCTGAGGACCAGAGCCAATCACAGGCTGAGGACCAGAGCCAATCACAGGCTGAGGACCAGAGCCAATCACAGGCTGAGGACCAGAGCCAATCACAGGCTGAGGACCAGAGCCAATCACAGGCTGAGGACCAGAGCCAATCAGATATGAAAGATCCCAGCACTTGACCGCTGCATGCTATGACTGACCAGGTTCAGTCAGGTGATGGTGGCCCCGCCCCCTCAGCCAGGTATTAACCAGTCAGGCTACTGTCACTTCGTCCCCTTTAGGCTCCGCCTCTTCGGGATGGGTGGGGCTCCGCTGGATGAGTAAAGAAAGGGATTCTGGGATATGTTGTCTGTGACTGAGGTGCAGCTGGGAGGTGGAGCCAGAAGTGGCTTCGTTTCCATGATAACGCTGAGACAGATGATGAAGATGATGAAGATGAAGTCTCATCAGCATCCTGGTGTGATGTCATCACTTCCTGTCAGCAGGTCTCAAACAGGAAGCAAGTGATGATGTCACACTGAGGCCATACCTCATCTTCTGATGATGTCATCCCAGTGGCGGAGCTCCAGGTTTTCTACTCTTCCTCCACAGAGTTTTATTTTCAGGTTTCTATTCTCGATTTGTATTCTAAAGCTGACTCCGCCCCTCTCTGACGTCACGCTAGGGCGGGGCCAACAGCCAGCTTCTGCAGGGTTCCTCAGGTTTCCATGGCAACACGTCCTGCCTGCTGTCTGTCAGTGTTTGACTGATCAATAAAGTTTCTGACCTGAAGCGTGGTCATTGATTGGTTCCTCGGGGCGGCCGGGGGCGGGGCTTCAGCTGATCATGTGATCCATATGCTTCCCAAAGTGGGCGTATGAATATGAATAAAATACATTTGAAGTATTTTTTATCCAATAAATTCACTTAAAAATAAAACGTGTATAATTCTTTCTCTGTTTTATGAGTAGTTGCAGTTCAATATTCTTGTTTTAGCTCATTATTTAGGGAACATTAAATAGTTTTTCCTCCAATTGATGATTTTGTTTCTAACAAAAACAAAAAGCGGGAGGAGCTCCAGGTTGCCATGGAGACCCTGCTTCGTCCACTGAGCTGCTGGTGGTTAACTGGGAATACTGGGAGGCAGTTGAACAGAGACCGCCCCCTGCTGGTCACACCACATGCTGCAGCTCCGGTCGGTGAGGAGTTCACATGGAGACTCCGAGTATGAAAGATGATGCTGCAGCCATGAGAGCGGAGGGAGGAGGAGGAGGAGGAGGAAGAGGAGGAGCAGGAGGAAGAGGAAGAGCAGAGCTGAGGTTATTTTCACCGAGTGAGGAGAGCAGAGTGACATTTCACGGAGGATCAGTGGGAGGAACCAGCCTGTCCCTCTGGAGGAGCACAGCAGGAGGTGTGAGTCTCTGCAGCAGCAGGAGCAGAGGGAGGAGGTGGAGGCACTCCAGAGCCGCAGCAGCAGCAGAGCCATGCAGCAGCAGCAGCAGCAGCCGCAGCAGCAGCAGCTCCAGCAGTAGGAACCAACGCTCCATCTGTCTGCCATTGATCCGTATCGGCTCTGCAGCGATTGATTATCTGGGCTCACCAGAAACCAATCAGCTGGTTCCGATCCGTTCTTCGTGTGTGTGTGTGTGTGTGTGTGTGTGTGTGTGTGTGTGTGTGTGTGTGTGTGTGTGTCCTGATCAGTGGGAACTAGCTGGTTCCGATCATCACAGATGGAATGGATCAACTTGTGGTGGTTCTGATCCATCACGGATCTTCAGCAGTACCAGATAGTTCTGATGAGTTCTGATTGATTTGATGTCCTCACAGCTAATGAGCCTATTGATCCAATAAATGCATGCTGGGAGATGTAGTTCCCATCTATCAGAGTGGAAGGTCCAGGGTCCACCATTGGTTCCGGTCCTGGGTTCAGTGTAGGTTCTCTGGGTTCCTGCTACTGGCTCTCAGGTGTGTCTCTGTTCCAGGTGAGGTGGAAGTGGGCGGGGCCTGACCCGCTCAGCCACTGTCTGATTGGTGGCCTGTGATGATTGCGACAGGCGGTCTGCTGAGGATCAACGCGCGGCGACAGGACTCTGAGGTCCAAAGCACACAGATCCCACCCACACAAGAAGAAGAGCAAGAACAATAGGTAACACCCACCCACACGCACCGCCAGAGGGGCCGTTCCCCGCCTCATTAGATTATGTCACTTCCTGTCCAGACGCAGCGAGGTGGTGGTGGTCAAGGGGAAGCTGAAGCTGTGCTCCATCTCGGGTCTGGTGGCCGTTCTGGGGATCCTGGTTCTGGTGGTGGTTGGGGTTCTGATGGCGGCTCTGGGCTACTGGCCCCGGGATGGACTGTTCTTCAGCTCCCAGCCACAGGAGGGCGCCACTATGGCCTTGACTTCCTTCAGGAGTCCGGCACCAGCACTTGTTGAAGACCAGGTGAGAGTTTACCTGAGCAGGACCAGCAGAGTCCTTCATGTGTGCGTTCTGATGTGTCGCTGTGCCGCATGCAGGAACCCAAGTGGGCGGAGTCAGTCGGGGGAGACGGAACCAATGGCAGAGGAAATGACTTCAACCAATCAGAGACCGTCAACGGGACCTCTCGAGATGTTCCACAAGGATTTCTGGAAGAGTTCCTGGACAGGTGCGAACATGGATTACCTCAATGTGACGACCGACCAGCAGGTCAGCTACTGGATCTGTGGGCTGACCCTTGACCCGGGCTGGTAGTTTAGGGGGAACGGTCTTTGACCTGCTTCTGACGTGTCCTGATTGGCTGTCTCTGCAGGTATCTGTACTCTGATAGGCTGAAGGTCTTCGGCCCGCTCATCATGGGCATCGGCATCTTCCTCTTCATCTGTGCCAACGCCGTCCTGCATGAGAACCGGGACAAGAAGACGAAGGTCATCAACCTGCGGGACATCTACTCCACCGTCATCGACCTCCACAGCGTCCGGAAGCCCCGCCCTTCTTCCTCCGCCCACCAGCCGTTAGCCAATCCACTCAATGGACTCATCAACTACGTCCAGTCCAAGAGTCTGGACTCAAAGTCCCAGATGTCCCGCCGCCCTGTCGTCAAGGCAGCCAGCCAGTAGCAGGAGGTGCAGTGATGAAGGAGGAGGAGTCTTCAGTGTCTGCCAGGAGCATCCGCCTGCATCTCCTCCCTCCTCCTCTAACAGACACTCCCTGCCCCTGACCTCTGACCCCTGCTGGACCTCCCAACACAAAGATATGCTGAGCTCCTTCACGTTGCCCCGTCCCGCCAGCCGTCCCGCCAGCGGTCCCCCGGCCCCCGCAGGAGACACTCCTTCTGGGCCAGGAGCAGCGGCCAGGAGGAGGAGCAGAAGGAGGAGGAGATGCAGCCGCCGCCTCTGTGTGCCTCCACTCCTCCGCCTCACCGAGGCTCCGAGGCTCTGCTCCTCCTCTCCTCCTCCTCGCTCTCCTCCCTGTCCCATGTCCTCTCCTCCTCCTCCACTCCAGCCCTCCCCTGCAGGAGGCGGAGTCTTCCGACCGCCGCCTTTAACGCAGCCTACTGCAAGCTGACGCAAGGAGACGACGAGTCCTTCGGGTGGTCTTCTTCACCCAAGGTGACCCCGGAGGTGGAGGCTCGACCCTCACAACCAGAGACACCCTGAGGTCCCGCCGGCCCCCTGGGGGGGAGGAAGAGGAGGAGGATTGACTGACGAAGTCGATGATGACAGCAGCAGCAATAAAGAGTCTTCCACCGGGGAGATGAGCCAACTTCCTGTTCATCAGTGATGTGGTGGACCCAGTCTCACCAGAACTGGACCCACTTGACCCAAACGGATCCATTGAGGAGACCACAGATTGTCTTCATGTCCCTGTTTACACTAACTAACTAAACCAGATTAACCCAAACAGATCCAACTGATCCAAGATGACTCGATTTATTATCAGATTTATTCCAGAACTGCAGCTGGTTCTGGTCAGTCTAGATCAGGGGAGCTCAAACTTTTTGAGACCAAGATCTTTTTCTCTCACCAGCCGGCTGAGATCTACCTCATGACACAAAGACATAGAAATTATAAATGAAACCCTATTGACTCATTTTCATGCAAATATCCATCAGTTATATAAGAAATGATAAAGTGATAGAAAACCTGATGCAGTTTCTTCCTCAGTGAGATTCTGACACTGGGAGCAGGTTACTGGTTTCAGTAGATTACTGGTTTCAAACAGGTAACTGGTTTCAGCAGGTTACTGGTTTCAACAGGTTACTGGTTTCAGTAGGTTACTGGTTTCAGTAGGTTACTGGTTTCAACAGGTAACTGGTTTCAGTAGGTTACTGGTTTCAACAGGTAACTGGTTTCAGTAGGTTACTGGTTTCAACAGGTAACTGGTTTCAGTAGGTTACTGGTTTCAACAGGTTACTGGTTTCAACAGGTAACTGGTTTCAGTAGGTTACTGGTTTCAACAGGTAACTGGTTTCAGTAGGTTACTGGTTTCAGTAGGTTACTGGTTTCAGTAGGTTACTGGTTTCAACAGGTTACTGGTTTCAGCAGGTTACTGGTTTCAACAGGTTACTGGTTTCAGTAGGTTACTGGTTTCAACAGGTGACTGGTTTCAGTAGGTTACTGGTTTCAACAGGTAACTGGTTTCAGTAGGTTACTGGTTTCAACAGGTTACTGGTTTCAGTAGGTTACTGGTTTCAATAGGTTACTGGTTTCAACAGGTAACTGGTTTCAGTAGGTTACTGGTTTCAACAGGTAACTGGTTTCAGTAGGTTACTGGTTTCAGTAGGTTACTGGTTTCATTAGTTTACTGGTTTCAACAGGTTACTGGTTTCAGTAGGTTACTGGTTTCAGCAGGTTACTGGTTTCAGTAGGTTACTGGTTTCATTAGTTTACTGGTTTCAACAGGTTACTGGTTTCAGTAGGTTACTGGTTTCAGCAGGTTACTGGTTTCAGTAGGTTACTGGTTTCAGCAGGTTACTGGTTTCAGTAGGTTACTGGTTTCAGCAGGTTACTGGTTTCAACAGGTAACTGGTTTCAGCAGGTTACTGGTTTCAGTAGGTTACTGGTTTCAGCAGGTTACTGGTTTCAGTAGGTTACTGGTTTCAGCAGGTTACTGGTTTCAGCAGGTTACTGGTTTCAACAGGTTACTGGTTTCAGCAGGTTACTGGTTTCAACAGGTTACTGGTTCAGTAGGTTACTGGTTTCAACAGGTTACTGGTTTCAGCAGGTTACTGGTTTCAACAGGTTACTGGTTTCAGTAGGTTACTGGTTTCAGTAGGTTACTGGTTTCAACAGGTAACTGGTTTCAGTAGGTTACTGGTTTCAACAGGTAACTGGTTTCAGTAGGTTACTGGTTTCAGTAGGTTACTGGTTTCAGCAGGTTACTGGTTTCAGTAGGTTACTGGTTTCAGCAGGTTACTGGTTTCAGCAGGTTACTGGTTTCAGCAGGTTACTGGTTTCAGTAGGTTACTGGTTTCAGCAGGTTACTGGTTTCAACAGGTTACTGGTTTCAGTAGGTTACTGTTTCAGCAGGTTACTGGTTTCAGTAGGTTACTGGTTTCAGCAGGTTACTGGTTTTCTCAGTCAGAAGCTGGTTGTAAACCTGAGGCCAGCAGGTTCAGTCAGTTCTGGTGGATGAGAAATTTGGTTTGATGACGTCAATATGAGAAACTGCAGACTGATAGGAGGAAGCAAAGAGCTCTGCAGAGGGAAAGGCAAATCTTCTGAATTTGGGATAGCTATAATTAATGTAATTTGACACAATTATTGTGGTAGAAGCCATTTGTTTGTTAAAACTTAATCAAATATATTTGTCCTATTTGATGTTGGTTGTGACGTTTACTGCAAACGAACGAGGTCATCAGTCCAAGTCTGTCGTTTATTGAACATTCAGAAACTCCAGTGGCTGTGATGAACCACAGCGAAGGAAAACAAAGTAGAATAACCCGAACAGGTGATCAACTCAGAACCACTCGCACCTTTTTACTCTTTTTCTCTTTATCGTTAAGCACACCCGTTGCCGTGGCAACCGCCTGCGCCCCGCAAGCCGAGCAAAGATTACGTTAAAAACGTTCAGACCGTTACATATCAGGTATTTAATGAAGCTACAAACGTTTTGGATGTTAGTGAATATTTTGAAAAGTCTGTCAGAAGAGGAAGTGCTGCTCTCAGCGTCCTGAAGGCCTTCAGTTTGTCACCTGCTGCAGAGATCGACTCAAAACCGTCCCGCGATCCACGTATTGAGCACCCTGGTCTAGAACTAGCGAGACTGACCAGTCTAGCATAATCTTCTTCTTCACTCTTAGCGGAAGGGGTCAGGGGTCAGAGGTTGGTCTTGCTCCATGCCTGCAGTGCATGCTCTTTAAGCACCTTCAGTATTTTGCACTTTTTGATCTTCAGTGCTTCATTCCTCTGGACTACTTTCCTTGGGAAGCGTCCGTCCGTCCTGTGTTGGACCTGGAGAAATGGACGTGTTGGACAGCATGTTGTTGTTTTTACTGCATGTTCTAGAAGCCGGTCACATGACCTGCTGTGATGAAGACATCAAACATCTTGACCCTTTGCTGCTCTGCAGGCTCCGCCCACCTGCTGGGGAACCGCCCCCTCCACATTAAAGATGGCCGCCTGTGGAGGATCCCAACCTGCTCTACTGGACCTTTAAACTTAGAACTATATAACTGTGATTATGAAGCAGAGAAAATGGGTCAGAGGTCAGAGTTCACAGGTAGTCTCAACAGGAAGAAACCAGTCCTTCTGGTTGACTGGGTGAACTGGTGATGGTCTGGACCGACCCGTCCAGAACCTGAGCTGGTTCTCCTAACATGATGTCTGAACTGGTTCTGCTCGTTTCAGCCCTGGTTCTGATCTTGGTTCTGTTGCAGCTGATTGGACCCAGATGGACCATCAGCAGAACTTTCTGCGGTCACTGAAGCACAAAGTGAAACCACCACAAATAAAGCACAAAATGTCTGTCCACGTCTCTGACTCCTCCCTCCTCCGGGCTCCGCCCACATTCACAGGTTCTGGGTCGCACCTGCACCTGGGGCTCACGTCGGGTCGTCAGACTGTTCAGAACCGCTGGGGTTCTGTTGTAGACACAGAACCGGGCCAACAGACAGGAAGGAGGTGGGGTCACTTCCTGTCTGTTCAGGCAGACAGGAAGTGATGTCACTGCCTGAATTTCCTCAGAAATATTGGGACTTCCTGTCATCATTTCTGACCGGGTCTGGTCGGGTCTGGCAGTGACCCGACCAGACCCGGGTCACGGGCAACATGATGGCCGGGTCACGACCAGAACCGCCTCAGAACAACACGGTTCTGGGAGCAGGACCGGTACCGAGGGTTCTGTTGGAGCTGAGAGGCGACCCGACACCCGGTCGTACCACTCTGGCTCGACCCGGCATGGCCGCTCTGAACTGAACTGGACCTTTTAGACACCGGTCTCAGCCGGTTCTGATGTTCTGTTCATTGGAGAGTCACTGATGACATCACAGAAAGAGGAAGTAGCTAGTTCTGGTTCTGGTTCTGGTTCTGGATGATCTCAGGTTCTTGAAGTCTGATGGTGGACAGACACCACCATCAGACTCTTCCTGTCCTCCTGTCTCAGACTTTCAGCCATCAGGGAATCTGATCCGGATCAGTCTGGCTCCACCAATCGGAGCGCAGCAGGAGTCTGACAAGCCTCTCCCCCGGCCTCCTGTACCAATCAAAGTGCAGGAGTCTTCTGTCCTCCAAAACCAGAATGGACCTGAGTTTGAGAGAGGTTCTGATCCCTGCAGCATCAGTAGAACAAGAACCAGAACCGGGACCAGAACCAGCCTCACTGTCTCCATCGGTGCCCCCCTCCCCCTCCTGCAGCGGGCGACTGGGAGGGGGAGGGGGATAATCTGGGGGCGGAGCCTGAGCAGAAACCAATAATCCGTCAAGCAGCTGCAGAGGGACTGACTGGGAGAACCAGAACCAAACCAACATCAGCATCCTCTTCCTCCCCGCTGCGGAACCTGCTCAGGTACTCCTCTTCCTCCTCACCCTCCTCTTCCTCCTTCCTGCAGCTGGGTTCTGCCGGTCCGGACCGGACCGGGACCAAAGCCTCCTGACCCGGTTGGACTGGGATGTTTTGGTTGGGGTCTTAAAGGAGCAGCAGGAAGTATTCACTGATTTATTATTATTATTATTATTATTATTATTATTATTATTATTAATATAAACTGTTAAATAAATATGTGACATATTTATCCAGTCAGAAATGGTCAGTGTTCTGTAATGGTCGGATTTCAGGTTAGCTGCTCATCTTCCTCCTGCTTTGACTAGGCCACATGGATCCTCCATGTTTGTGTCTCCTTCCCCTGACTGATACTTTATCAGAAACTTTATCAGACAATTTGTTCAACATTCAGAGGCGTGAAAACTTCAACCAGAACTCCCAGTACAGCTGCTGGAGCTGTGTGTGTGTGTGTGTGTGTGTGTGTGTGTGTGTGTGTGTGTGTGTGTCATTTAATTCTTTCATCTCATTAATTATTTTTTCTTCTTTTGTTTGAACGGATCACTTCCTGTCTGCACCGGTGAGTAACACACCCACCCACACAAACGTCATCTGCTCATTCATAATTATTAAAATCTGCGTCACAATCGTAATCATAATGAAATATTAAATCTAACATTGTGCAGATTTTTAACACACAGACTTTTACAGTCAGATTCTTCATAGATCTACACACTTAGATCCGTCTGAACCCAAACAGAGAAACAGGACAGGAGATTATTTTACTGTATAAGTTAGCACAGCTGTTAGCATATCAAGTAGCACAGCTGTTAGCATATCAAGTAGCACAGCTGTTAGCATGTTGGTTAGCACAGCTGTTAGCATGTTGGTTAGCATGTTGGTTAGCATGTCGGTTAGCATGTTGGT